TTAGGATAGGATAACAGTGGTTTTGACAAACTCCTCGTAGGTTCCTCAAAAGGGTTCTCAAAATGTGGTCCCTCAGATAAACATCAAGAACGTCCCCTGGAAACCTGTTAGAAATACAAATTCTCAGGCCACATCCCAACCTCCCTCGGGTGGGGTCACGCAGTCTGGTTGTAACAGGCCCTCCTGGGGATTCTGAAGCACACTGGCGTCTCAGAACCACGTAAAGCTGGTGAGACTGACGGGAAACAGAGGAAAGCCTTGGCGCGCACCAGACCCAGCGACAAGCAGAAAGGTAAAGGCAATTACAGGGCTACTCTAAGCTCAGGGTCCACAAGGGACAGAGAGCTCAGGCCCCCGGCTGTGACAGCCAAGTCCTACCCTGCCCACCTCCAAAACCAGTGGTTGGTGGGAGCGGGCCACAGTTCGGCCTTCGGCCAGGCGCGAAGCGGTCCATCCTCAGAACAAAGAGCTCCTACTCTGGCGAAGAGATGGCAGTGAGGGACAAGCGCCTGGCTCCCCCACCCACTCCCCACCTGCGTATTCTGGAAGGTCTGTGTGCACGAGCCCCCTTTCTCAAAGGAAACCTCTTTTGGAGAAAGGAAGGCGATACAAATGTGGGAAAAATCCACACCAACTACCAATACATCAAGTAAAACTTTCACATGTAAGAGTGATGCTTCAAGAACAACAAATACCGGTGCAGATAATCAGTAAACTGAACAAACAGAAGACTGACAATGAGAAAAAAAACACAGAAATAATTCGAGGAATAGAAAAGAATGTGAAAATTCTCACTGGTATTCTCATGTTACATTTATGAAAAAAAGCAATTAGAACAAGAAAGCAATCAGCAAATTACTAAACTTAAAAAAACTAAACAGCGCCCAGCCAGTGTGGCTCAGTGATTGAGCATCCTCCCACGGACTGAGAGGTCCTGGTTCGATTCCTGGTCAGGGCACATGCCCAGGTTGTAGGCTTGATCTCCAGAGCGGGGCATGCAGGAGGCAGCTGATCAGTGTGTCTCTCTCACATTGATGTTTCTCTCTCCCTTCCTTTGTCTCTAAAAAAAAAAAAAAAAAAAAAAAAATCAATAAAAATGTTTTTAAAAAAACCAAACAGAAAAATTAGATAATGATGTAATAGACACATCTGAGAGGGATTAGTAATCTGGAAGATAGTATCTGAAGAAATCTTTTAGAACAGAGGAAAAACACCAAGACAAAAAATAAAAGTGAACTGACAGAGGCCAGAGTCAGGTCCCAGATTCACTTGGTAAGAGTTCCAGAAAAACAAAGCAGATAAAATGGAAAGAAAACAATTAAAGAAATGATTTTCAAAACTGTCCTTAATCCAAGAATGGTACAATTCTTCAGTCAAAAAACCATGAGTACCCGGCTGGTGTGGCTCAGTGGCTGAGCATCGACCCATGCACCAAGAGGTCAGGGGTTTGAATCTCGGTCAGGCACACGCCTGGCTCACAGGATCAGTCCCCAGCAGGGGCAGCAGGGGCCATGCAGGAGGCAGCTGATCAATGTTGATGTTCCTCTCTCATCAATGTTGTACTCTTTCTCTCCCTCTCCTCTCCTCTCTCTAAAATCAACTAAAAAAAAGAAACCCATGGGGTAAGCAGAATAAATGACAAATGTCCCACATATGTAGCCACATACTGGTGAAATATTAGGGCTCCAAGCACAAAAAGTCCTAAAAGTTTTTCATGAGGAAAAAGAAAAGGTTTTTACCAATTAATAGAATCAGATTGGTGTGTCTGACTTTTAATCTGCAAAACTGGATGCTAGCAAACAATCACTTTACAGCTTCAAAATTCTGAGGGGAAATTATTCTGAACCTAACACCCTAAACTCAATTTTTAAAAATTAATGGAGAAGTCAACATTTAATTATTGATGATATGCTGCAGTAAACCAAAAAATCAACCCTGGGTCCAGCCAGTGTGGCTCAGTGGACTGAGCATCATCTCATAGACTGAGAGGTCCTGGTTCGATTTCTGGTCAGGGCACATGCCTGGGTTGTGGGCTCGATCCCCAGTAGGGGGCATGCAGGAGGCAGCTATCCATGGTTCTCTCTCACATTGATGTTTCTCTCTCCCTCCCTTCCTCTATCTCTAAAAAAACCAATTAAAATACATTAAAAACTAAAAACTAACCCTAGGATGAAAGAAAAGGCAGTAAGAAGGAAACAGTAAAACTCATAGCTGTCTAAGTATCTATGGTATGCATAATGTTAAAACACACAAACCAACACAACAGAGATTAATGTGAAACAAATCCCACAAGATTACACCAGAAGAAGAGGTCTGGGTGGGGAAGTGAAAGAATGTTAAGGTTGCTGAGTTAATTGGGACATTAATTCTAAATAGATAAAAAGGATAACCACTGATAGCAGTAAGTTTAATTAAGCTCCAAAGAACTAAGAGGAAAAACAAAAAAAATACACGATCCTGCCAATAAAATGCTGACTAAAAACAAGCACAATATATGCCCTGGCCCGTTTGGCTCAGTGGTTAGAGCATCGGCCTGCGGTCCGGAGAGACCCGGGTTCGGTTCCTGCTAAGGGCACATACCTTGGTTGCAGTTTGTCCCGAGCCCGGGTTGGGTTGTGTGGGTGGCAACCACTCGATGTGTCGCTTTCACGTCGATGTTTCGCTCTCACTCTCTCCCTCTCACTCTATCTGAACAAAATATCGAAAAATGTCCTCGGGTGAGGATAAAAAAATAAAAAATAAAAACAAGCACAATATAGAAAACACAAAAAAAGATGGCAGAAATAGTCCAAACAATTCAACAATTTGAATGAATATGAATGGATTCAATTTCCCACAGACTTAAAATAAATTGCCCAAAAGCTGTTCTGACATTAGTTGGGGAAAATAAAAATCAATGCAGAGTGTATTGAGAACAAACAACAACAACAAAAACATTTCAGTTATAAATTGCACAACTCACCAACATTTACATATACTTTCATATCTCAGAAATCAACTTATTAACTAAACATTAAAATAAGAATGTAGGTTTGAACAAATAACAAGCTAAATCCAAAACCACATTGTGGTCCCGAGTAGGTAGGAGCACACTTGCCCTTTCCACCGAAGGATGGAGATGCCATCTCCCCGGCTGAGCACCGAAGATGTCGCCAGAGCAGAGCAAAGCAGACCATCGAGGGGTGCAGCAGACCATCGGTCCAGAGCAGATCAGCACAGCAGAGCAGGCCACTGAGGGGCAGACCAGAGCAACCTAGCCAGGGGGGCCTGGCCCCCAGCTGCCAGCCAGAGCCGTCTGGTGCTGCATCACGACCCAGCTGTTCCTTGGTCGTGCTGTTTTCACAGCTACGCGGTGTCACCACTGAGCTGTTGGCACCGAATAAAGTTTCCTTCTTCACTGCACCCCCCCCAAAACAGAATAGCACTCCTCCACCCCCAAAACTTATAGAATACTTACAAATATTGAGCATACATTCCATAAAATAGAAATCACACATAATCTATCTGCTTGAAAATTTTAAACACTTATATAATTCCTGGGTTAAATATAAAGGCAATTGAATCTGAAATTACCCATTAGAAATAAATTACAAGAGTCACCCCAGCTAAAGATTGCCAGACACAGTCAAGGCCATGCTTCATTTATTAGAAAACAAGAAAGACTGAAAATAAAACCTTGCACAATACACCTTGAAGCAATGATTGTCAAAACCTCTGGGGATACGGTGGTGGTTCATGAAAGTAGCCTAGAAGTCTGAATTCATTTATATATTTAAGGCCTGTGGAATCTGCATGCTAACTAGTGATAACCTACAAACTAAGTCAAATTTTAGAATATCAACTCAGTTTATAATACTGGTCACTTCATCCTGATGAGGTGAATTGGGTCAGGAATCACATCTTTGAATAATATAAAAGTTAGACTGAGTTCCCTTTGATGTGTTTAACCTATGCACAGTGGTGCCACATAAGCAAGCACTCAAGAGTATTATTATGAACTGAATTAATGTACTAGACAGATAATTTTCCAAAATGTGGGGCTCGCCGAAGAAACAGTGAAACAGAAGAAAAAGGTCTGTGTGGTGGTTATAAGGTTGGGAAACTGACCTACCCAGGAACTTTAACCTCAGGTCTATGATGCCACAGTGCTACATGACAGGTGTTCCAGATTCAGGGTAGGACTTATGGATGTAGAGGAGTAACAAGAGGACTGAGAGCCGTTATCAAATTCTTGCGTTCCTTCTTGCAAGCAAGATCCATGGACTTCAATAATCATGTCAGATAAAATTAATTTTTCAAATATAAAAAGACTAATTTTTTAAAACCTAGTCCCTTTTTGCTGTATGTGAAAAGGGTAGAGTTCAGCACAGGTGACTAGAACATACCATCAAAGTCTCTGGTAGTATAGAGGACAAAAAGATCTCAGTAGCTTTTATATGTTTAAAATATTTTAAAAGGATTCAATTACTATCTTCATAGAATGAATGCTAACTAAACCTAAAACTGAGGTAACTATTTATTTCACAAACTGTTTCTGCTATAAGAAATTAGTTGAATCTCATCAAGTACTATACTTTACAAACTTTTTCACAAAAATAGGAAAAGGTCCAATCCTGAACCATACCAAAAACAAGCACTTTAATTGAATATAAACATACACAGAAGCTGCATCAATATTAATATTTCAAACGTTCAATATTTGAGCTACTTCAGTAGTAGCAATATGGATTTCAAAATGTTCTTTGAAATAAACAGAGAAAAATGAAATTTCAAGACCTTCTAATTATATTAATTTAATCTGGTTTATTTTTAAAATACTTCCTCCTACAGTTTAAAAAATGATACTTCCTCTCTTGAATAAATAAAAAAATAACTATTTCTCTCTCTAATCTACGGCTTTGCTCAGCTGAAGTAAACATTTTTAAAGCTTTTTTCTTTACTAGTAAACCAGTATCTTCAATTTTTAACTGGTCCAAGAGCAGACTTCCTTACATGACAGCAATACATACAAATAAAAAGAATTCTGCCAGCAAACATCATGTTCAATACCAACAATAAAGACACAGTCTTAAAAATGAGCTACATATTTATTTGCATAGGTTCATAGGAAAGATCTGAAAATCCAACGTAGTATCACATGAAGCTTACCATTTAATTATTAATCCAGTTTAAAAATAAGTTTTCCTCCACTAACTTGAGCATGGCACTATTTTACATGCTTCAGTTATGAGTGCTGAAATACCAGACACCTACACATCTTCAGTTTTTGTAGAAGTACTATTAAGTCCAAAAAAGTCTTTTTTAATGATGTACCGAACACACTGCAAAATCACATTTCTTTCATGCCGAATGTCTGGAGCTAAAAGCTAAAAAACAATGAATACAGAGATTAGCTAGCAAATAAAATATATGCAAGAAATATAATCTAAAAACTAAAATATTATGTGTGCCTTTCCCATATGAAAACAGAACAATAAATATGTACATTATATTTATTAATTATTTTGCTAAAAAATTATGCAAGAACATTCCCTCTTAATTTATAGCAAGACTGTCTAGCTTTTTAAAAAAAATCTTCACCTGAGTTTATTTTTCCATTTATCTTCAGAAAGAGTGGGAGGGAGAGAGAGAGAGAGAGAGAGAGAGAGAGAGAGGGAGGGAGGGGGAAACATCAATGTGAGAGAGACATATCAATTAAGGCTGTCTCCCTCACAACCCCGACCAGGGCCGAGGACGAACCGCAACCAAGGTACATTCCCTTGACCAGAATCGAACTCTTGGTCTGTGAGTTGATGGTCTAACCACTGAGTAAACCAGCCAGGGCTTTTTAAACAGCACAAATACTAACATATGGGGTCCTCTCTAGGAGCATCTAACAAGGGACAAGAAAAATAGGTTTAAAAGTCATAATTCTTGACCTGGTCAGTTTGGCTCAGCAGTTAGAGCATTGGTCAACGGACCAGAGTCCAACGGACCAGAGAGTCCCGGGTTCGGTTTCCACTAAGGGCACGTACCTCGGTTGCAGTTTGTCCCCGGCCCCAGATGAAGTCGTGTGGCGACCACTCAATGTGTCTCTCTCACATCGATGTTTCTCTCTCTCTTCCTCCCTCTCTCCCTCCCATTCTATCTGAAGATAAATGCAAAAATGTCCTCAAGTGAGGATAAAAAAAAAAGTCATAACTCTTTAATATAAAAACCATGTCAAAGAGGAACTTACCAGGCCTGGCCGGTTTGGCTCAGCGGTAAGAGCATCGGCCTGTGGTCCCGAGAGACCCGGGTTCAGTTCCTGCTAAGGGCATGTACCTCAGTTGCAGTTTGTCCCCGGCCCTGGTTGGTCGTGCGGATGACAGCCACTCAATGTGTCCCTTTCACATCTATGTTTCTCTCTCTCTCTCTCTTCCTCTCTCTCCCTCCCACTCTACCTGAACAAAAAAAATGGAAAAAATGTCCTCGGGTGAGGATAAAAAAAAAAATTATGCCTGGCCGGTTTGGCTCAGTGGTTGGAGCGTTGGCCTGCGGACCAGAGAGTCCCGGGTTCGGTTCCCGCTCGGGGCATGTACCAAAAAAAAAACACACACACACACAAAAAGAGGATCCTACCAAACCCAAATCCATAAACAGTATAGAAACTGATAAGTAGATATACTAAAGATAGTAATAAAACTAGTGGTTAAAAATCCAAATATTCCTGGACTTTTATAACTTTCCATTTTTGTGCAAAAGCTAAAAATCCCTGGTATTTGAATAGGTATATAATCAAGGAGTCATACATAATTTGTCAAAAAAAAAACAGAGTAAGCTCAACTTATTTTCTGATGTCCTTAATGTAGTTTGGAAACAACATATAGGAACTTTCAGTAGAAAAATGATTTAATTTGCCCTTATAAATAGGTAAACATTTTAAAAATGCAATTTATGCCCAGATGATGTGGCTCTGTGGATTGAGCATCATCCCATGGACTGAGAGGTCGCAGTTGGATTCCCAGTCGGGCACATGCCTGGGTTGCAGGCTCAATCCCCAGAGAACGTTTGGGAGGGAGCAGATCGATGTTTCTTTCTTACATTGATGTTTCTAGCTCTCTCTCTGAAGATACATGCAAAAATATCCTTGGGGTGAAGATAAAAAACAAACAAAAAAACTCGTGTTGACCTGCACACTGAAGTTTCTAGTTTGATCCTCGGCCCTGGCTGGGGCACGTGCAGGAGGCAGCCAATCAATGTGTCTCACATTGATGTTTCTCTTTCTCTCTCACTCTCCCTCTCTCCCTCCCTCCCTCTCTTTCCCCTCCCACCCCTCTCCCTTCTACTCTCTCTAAAAAATCAATGAAAAAAATATCCTCAGATGAGAATTAACAAATTAAAAATTTTAATTAAAAAAACAAACAGCCCTGGCCGGTTTGGCTCAGCGGTTAGAGCGTCAGCCTGCGGTCCGGAGAGACCCGGGTTTGGTTCCCGCTAAGGGCACGTACCTCGGTTGCAGTTTGTCCCCGGCCCTGGTTGGTCGTGCGGGTGGCAGCCACTCGATGTGTCCCTTTCACATCGATGTTTCTCTCTCTCTCTCCCTTCCTCTCTCTCCCTCCCACTCTATCTGTACAAAGAATGGAAAAATATCCTTGGGTGAGGATAAAAAAAACAAACAAACAAACAAACATGCACAAACCCAGTGTCTCTACCTTTGTGATGTGAGAAGAACGCAAAGATTATAATAGAAAGAAAAATCATTTACCATTTCCAGGAGATATGGATGATGTGTTCTTGGTTCAAATAATGTATGATAGTTGTGATAATCTTTTTTCCTCTTAGGGTTTGTCTTTTTCAAACTTTTCTTTTGGCTCTCACAGTTAGCTTCTGAGAAATTTCTAACAGTTGTTTTGGGAGTATCGCTATGAAGAACCTGGTCTTCCGCCAGAATGTCTGCTTCAGTCTTAATGGGAGCTTCTAAATGTGATAAAAAACAAACACAAAAATTAAAAACAAAAATCTAGGTTATCCTTCTAAAAAAATAACAATAACAAAAACATAATCATTTCTCCCAGCCATAATACTGGCTACTTATTAATTAAAACTAGGCATTTACAATGTATTAGAGTTTTTTTTAAAATTGGGAGTTATAACTGCAAGACTGAGGATATTACCACAAAGAGCTACAGAGAGTGATCCCTGTGAAAGAAATATGTAATACCAGATGGAAACCCAGATCTACACAAATGAAGAATGAAGAGTGCCAGAAACAGTCAGTATGTGTGGATAAATATAAAAGATATCGTTTTCTTTTTAAAAATTATTTTAAAGATAATGACAATTTAAAGCAAAAAATAATAACAATGCATGTGGAATTTATAACATCTGTAAAAAATAAAATCTATGATAACAATAGCACAAAGAAAGGGATGAGAAAAATGTAAATATATTGCTATAAAATTCTTAAATTTATGTGAAGTCATATAACATCATTTGAAAGTATTCTGTGGTAAGTTAAAGTGGCATACTATAAACTCTAGACGAACTCCTTTAAAATAAAACAATGAGGTATAACTTATAAAATAATATTTGCATTGTACTAAAAATACAGAATTAATCCAAAGGCAAGAAAAGAAAAATATAACAAAAACAGATGAAATAAAAAGAAACAAATCATATCAATAATTACAATATATGTAAATAGTTTTAAAAACTCCATTTAAAAGGTTTGAGATCAGCCCAGCCAGTGTGGCTCACTGGTTGAGCATCAACCCGTGTACCAAGAGGTCACTGGTTCGATTCCCTGTCAGGACACACAGCCAGGTTGTGGGCCCAATCTCCAGTGGGGGGCATACAGGAGGTGGCCAATCGATATTTCTCTCATCAATGTCTCTATCTCTCTTTCCCTCTCCCTTGCTCTCTAAAATCAATAAAAAAAAAAAAATTATTAAAAAAAAAAGGGTTGAGATCAGACTATGGTGGTGAGGAAGAACTAGATGTCTGAAAAAAACACTTAAAATTGCTTCATACAATTTGAACTGAAATTAAATCTCAGTTACCAAGGACAGGGAATATCACCAGGGATAAAGAAGGACAATTAATAATGATAAAGAAATCATATATATGTTTTTTGTTAATCCTCACCTGAGGATATTTTTCCATTGATTTTTAGAGAGAGTAGGAGGGAGGGAGGGTCGAGAGAGAAGAGAGAGAGAGAGAAATAGCAATATGACAGAGAGACAGCAATTGGTTGCCTCCCACATGGGGCCGGGGATTGAACTTGTAACCCTGGTACATGCCCTTGACTGGGAATTGAACCCTCAACCCTTCGGTCTATGGACCAACACTCTAACCGCCGAACCAAACCGGCCAGGGCAAGAAATCAATTTATCAAGAACACAGAACACTAACAGCTAATAATAGAATGTCAATATACATGCAGGAAAATCTCACGAAACTGAGAAATCCATCACAAAGGTTGGAGATGTGAACACTCCGCCCTCATTCACTGAAGAACAATTACAGTCGTCCCTCGCCACTTCGCGCTTTGACTTTCAAAGCTTCACTCTATCATGGTTTTTATATAAATAAAGAATGCTACTTCACAGAAATTAATTTATGGTGGTAGAGTGTGGAACTGATTGACCGCGATAAACAAGGGTCGATTGTAGACAGAAAATGAGCAGGGATACAGAAGGCCTGAGTGCCACTAACAATCAACTCAAACCGACAAAGGACACTCAACCCAATATACATTCTTGTCAAATTCACATGAACATTCACCTTGTATTGGGCTATAAAATAAGTCTCAATAAATTGAAAAAACTGAAAGCATACAGAGGATGTTCTCTGACCACAAAAGAGTTAAAGTAAAATCAGTAACAGAAAACTATCTAGAAAATCTCAAAATATTTGGAAACTAAATAGCATACTTCTCAATAATCCACAAGTTAAAGAACAGATCACAAAATAAATTAGAAAATATTTTGAAACAAAGATTAAAAACGTGTCAAATTTATGGGATGCAGCTAAAGTAATGCATGAAAGCAAATTTATAGCTTTAAATATTCATATTAGAAATTAAGAAAAATCTAAACTCAATTATCTAAGATTCCACTGAAATGAGGTAGTGAGGAGGGAAGAAATAACACAGAATAAAAAAAATTGATGAATTAGGAGTAGACAATAGCCAGAAGTTGTTTCCTTGAAAAGATTAATAAAATTAACAAACACCTAGCAAAACTGATCAAGAAAAAAGGGGGGAAAATACCAATTAACATACGAGGAATCAAAGGGACATCACTATATATCCTATACATATCAAAAGAAATGTTATGAACTTTATACCAATAAATTGGACAATTTGGATGAAACAGAAAAATTATTTTGAAAGACACAATTCATAAAAAATGACTCAAGAAAAGACACAAAATCTGAAGAGTCCTATACCTATTCAAAAAATTTAATTCACAATTTACAAACTTTTCCAAAATACCAAGTACAGATAGTTAGCTTCATTAATAAAATCTATAAACAAGAAAAAATGGTGGCAATTCTACACAAACCCCTAAAAAAGAGGTGGAGGAAACAGATCCCAACTCATAGCAAATTCAGACAAAGCTATTACAAGGGAAAAGACAGAGACCAATAACCCTCACGAGCATGAATATAAAAATCCATATTAAAATAGAAGCAAAACAACCCTGGCCGCCTTGGCTCAGTGGTTAGAGCATCGGCCTGCGGTTTAGAGAGAACCGGGTTCAGTTCCCACTAAGGGTGTGCACCTCGGTTGCAGTTTGTCGCTGGCCCTGGTTGGTCATGCGGGTGGCAGCCATTTGATATGTCCCTTTCACATCGATGTTTCTCTCTCTCTCTCTCTCTTTCTCTCTCCGCCTTCAACGCTATCTGAACAAAAAATGGAAAAATGTCCTCGGGGGAAGATTAAAAAAAATTATCAAAATAAATCCAGCAATGTATTAAAAAGGTAACACACTATAATCAATTAGATTTTACCCTAAAAATACAAGGTTGATTTGACAGTTGAAAAGTAATCAATGTATATTCCCATATTAATGGAATAAGAAAGAAAAACCATGTACGACCAGTTGAAAAATCAGAAGTTTTAAGATAGTAAAAAATTAAAAAACCTAACCTTATAAGATAGGAATCTCCTCCTCTCACCTCCTAAATGATTCTTCTTCTTTTATCTTTATTGTTGAATGTATTACAGATGTTCCTTATTTTCCCCCATTGACCCCCTCTTCCCCCCCTCCCGCCTTTTCCCACACTAATGTCTGTGTCCATTGGTTATGCATATAAGTTCTTTGGTTTATTTCTTCCCACCTCCCAAACCCTTTCCCTTTGAGGTTTGTCAGCCTAGCATTGAATTTGTACTTCTTAATCCCTTCACCTTTTTCACCCATTCCCCCAACCCCCCTCCCATCTGGCAACCAACAAAATGTTCTCTGTATCTATGACAATGTTTCTGTTCTGCCTGTTCATTTTGTTTGTAGATTCCATTGTTGATAGATATGTATTCATTGCCATTTTGTTTGTTCATATATTTCATCTTTTTCTTCAAAAAGACCCTTCATCATTTCATATAATAACAGTTTGGTGGTGATGAACTCCTTTAACTTTTTCTTGTCTGGGAAAGTCTTTCTATGGCCATCAATTCTAAACGACAGCTTTATAGGACAGAGTAATCTTGGTTGTAGGTTCTTGCTTTTCATCACTCTAAATATTTCTTGCCACTCCCTTCTGGCCTGCAAAGTTTCCTTTCAGAAATCAGCTGACAGCCTTATGGGAACTCCCTTGTAGGTAACTAGCTACCTTTCTCTTGGTGCTTTTAAGATTCTGTCTTTGTCTTGAACCTTTTGCATTTTGATGATGATGTGTCTTGGTGTGGGCCTCTTGGGGTTCTTCTTGTTTGGAACTATGTGCTTCCTGGACTTGTCTGTCTGTTTCCTTCAACAAGTTAGGAAAGGTTTCTGCCATTATTGCTTCAAACAGGTTTTCAATTTCTTGTCCTCACTCTTCTCCTTCTGGCACCCCCAAGATGCGAATGTTGGCACGCTTGAAGTTGTCGGAGAGGCTCCTTACACTATCCTCATTTTTATGGATTCTTTTTTCTTTTTGCTGTTCTGCTTGGGCGTTTTTTGCTTCCTGATAATCCAAATCGATGGTTTGCTTCTTGGATTTACGTACTCTACTGTTTAATCTGTGTAAAATATTCATTTCAGTTAATGCCTCCTTCATTTCTGACTGTGCATCCATCATTTCTGACTGGTCCTTTTTTATGCTCTTGAGGCCCTCACTAAGTTCACTGAGGTTCTCACTAAGTTCATTGAGCATCCTTATAAGCAGTATTTTGAACTCAGCATCTGTTAGGTTGCTTATCTCCATTTCACTTAGTTCTTTTCTTGGGGTTTTGTTCTGTTCTTTCATTTGGGACCTGTTACTTTGTCTCCTCATTTTGGCTGTCTCCCTGTGTTTCTTTCTGTGTATTACTTAATGAGAGGTGTGGGGCTATCTGAGACCAGATGCTACCTGTTTGAAGAATTTAGGAAAACCTGAAGCAGAATCCAAGACAGGCCAATCCTATGGTTAAGCAACTGGCAACAGCTTGGGTGGGCCTGAAAGTTGGGCGGGGCGGGGCCTCAGGGAATCACCAGGGCAGGGCAACCAGTATGAGCCAGGTTGCTGGAGTCCCAGATATGGAGGCTGTCTGCCACCCAAGGGAAGGGCTCGCCAAAGGAACAAAGGCCTCTGACAGCACGTTTGTCCCTGAAAAGCCCCTTCTCCAGCCCTCGCTCCAATGCCAAACACCTCAGTTCTTCCCTGTATGTCTCTGGTGCCCCTCGAGCTGCCTCCCCTCCAAGCTTAGAGGGAGAGAGTCCAATAAGTCTGTGCACGGGCCCTTTAAGGAGCTGCCTGGGCAGCTTCCCTGAGCCTCAGTTCCCGCTGGTTTTGCAGCC